TGGGACTACAGGCACGCACCACCATGCCCGGCTAATTTTTTCTATATATTTTTAGCTGTCCGATTAATTTCTTTCTATTTTTGGTAGAGACAGGGTCTTACTCTTGCTCAGGCTGGTCTCGAACTTCTGAGCTCAAACAATCCACCCGCCTTGGCCTCCCAGAGTGCTAGGATTACAGGTGTGAGCCACCGTGCCCGCGTATTTTTAAATGAGATTACAAAGCAAACTAAATATGATGGCAGTTTCTAACCCTTCCTCCTTCATGCTCCTGCAGAAAGCAGAGAGAATAGTCTGGAAGTCTCTGTATTAAAATGTTAACAGTGGTTTTGTTTGGGAAAGGTTGTTGTGGTATTGGTAAAACTGTAGATTATTTCCTTTTCTTCTTTTCATCCATCTGTATCAATTTTTTCCATTATGTATTTGTTATACTTAAAATCAGAGAATGTATTTGAAATGAAATATGACAGAATTCCTCTGGCCTGCTTTGCAAATAAGTTTAGTATTGATCTCTAAACATGAATTTGGGCAAAGAAAAGGAAGGCAGTGATAATGGTGGGTGTATATGGGTAGCCAGAAGAAAAGGCAATGGAGGGAAATGAGCCAAAGTTCCTTTGAGAAGAAAAGGCAAGTAATATATTAATACCAAGTATATAGGTGAAGCTAGCAGACTGAATCCATGATTGCTTCAGGTCCTCTATTAGCCCACACATAATCTTTAATTGGATAAATGCTACCCTAAGGCAAAATTTATTATAAAATATTGGCTCATTGTCCATGAAAATGTATGTTGGAATATAGGAATCCTTGGTTCTGGAAATGATATTTCCGGATTAAAAAATGAACCCATTCTGTTTCTTCCTAAGGGAATGGGAACTACGACTCTTATTTTAGGCTTTAAAGGTTTTGACAAGTCATTCATTGTGTGATTCTTATGCGTGGATATTTTTATATTTAAGTTTATCTTACTAACTTTGTTGGGTTGGCAATTTAGTTCTCGATTTTTGGTGTTCTCTTGGCGGAAGAATGACCAGACACACCAAAAGCAAGATAAGATAAGCATGCAAATGAGGTTTGAGGAAGAGCAAGATACATTTGCTACAGACAACAAGGGGCCCCCTGTTGTAACAAGAGGCTCTGCCTGTGGTCTGGGGTCCTGTTTTATACTGTGTGGATTGGGCCCTCCTGGTGGTTCAGACATCACCATGGAACCACTTTGATGGACAGCTAATGGAAAGATAATTAGCCTTCAGTTACTCTAGGTCACTTTCCAGCTTCTATTATGCTTGGGCTGCCTGGCCCCCTGGCCCTCAGTTGTGGGATTCCCTGCATTCTTTTGCAGATTAGCAGGGCAAAAGCCTCCTTTCCCCAGGTGTGGCAGTTGCATGGGACAGGATTAAGGTGGGGCAGCACAAAGACAGGGTGGCTGCCCTAGTCCTCCTTCCCCAGGTGGGGCAGCATCCTTCCCCAGGTAGCACCAAAGTGAGGTGCCCACCTTTGTCCCTTGGATAGCCTAGGTCCCTGGCTATCTACCTAACAATTTGTTCATTTTTGAGGTGGACTTAAAAGTGAATATGAAACTGTTATCACAGAATTTTCTACTTGAAGAAATTGCTGAAGTATAATTTTGATAGTATTGCATTTTTCCTTGTTTAATTCTTCTTGCAATTATTTCCTTGCCTGTTTAATTTGCAGAACTGCTTCCCAAGTTCATTTGATGAAATTTTCACCAGATGGAGAATTTTTTGCCACTGCTGGGAAGGTAAATTGTGAAAATGCTATTGCCAAATTGTATGTTTATAGTTTACTTTGAAACTTTAAAAACATGGACTGGCTTCATTCTTTCATTTATTTACCTTGGAAATATTATGTCCTGTTAAAAATATTAAATAGCAAAAATTGATTATTGTGGCTTTAAAAGGCAGTGTGATATAATCGAAATAATACAGAGACAGATCTGGATATAAGTCTGCCATTTACCAGCTTTATCATCTCAGGCAAGTTAGTTAATCTCCTTGAGTCTGTCTTTTCTCATGTGTAATGTGAGGATAACAACATCTATGTCATAGGTCAGTAATCATGGGATTAATTTAGACAGTCGTATATGCATAAAGTGGCACAGTACCTTAAGTGTAGTGCAATTAATAAACTATATAGCTTCTATTTATATCATCTTTTAGCTTATATGTATATGAGGCTGTATTTAAGATAAAAGATTTTATAGGGTTTCTAGAAGGACCTTTGTAATTACTTCTTTAGTGTGCATACTTTGTTATTACCTGTTTATTTCAGAACATTGTATTTCTTTGATGGTATTTTTAATCATTGGTTCATAGAGCATTCCATGAACCACTAATAATCTGAAATTATTGGCTCAAAGCCTTCTGCAAACTAAGAGTGTGATATACTATAAAACCACAGTGAGGTTTTTTTTTTTTAGGAGAGAAGTGGAGCTGTTTATTCTGATTGACTTTACAGGTGGGAACTCAGTTGTAGCTTAAAAGCAGCACCTGGTGCATTCTGGTCTCACTTGCTTTTCCCTGTTTCCCAAATTAGGAGGTATAAATTTAATTGTGCATAGAATATTTTATAGTATTAGTTATTAACTAGTTATTATCAGCTACATTTTATTTGAAAAGTCATATGATAATAAATGAAAAGTATTCCTTTTTTTTTTTCCAGTAATTATCAGTCTTCGTTAGTCTGCTAGTGATATTGATTTCATATTTGATATTTGGCTTAAGGAAGAAGAAACCCTTAATTTCATCTTTCAGTCTTTCCTGAATGACTCCATTTCCCATAGTATATGGTAATTAGCAAGCATTTTCATTGAACACAGAATACACACATTCACACACTTCAGTTCTCAAAGCACAATTAAGGAATGCTAATAGAAAAGTATCAGAATAAGAATTTTCTTCTCAATTTCTCTGTGCCCAACCCCTCCTCCCATCCCCAAATTCCTTCCACTAGAGGGGAAAAAAATCTTACTTTTGCCATTTGATTAACCTTTAGTTCTGATCTGCATGTTTTTCTGTTTTTGCCTTAGGATGACTGTCTTTTAAAGGTATGGTATAATGTAGAAAACTGGCGGACAGCTGTTACCTCTCCAGATAGAAGTTCAGAAAAACAATCCCAAGGAGAAATTGACTTTTCTTTTGTTTATCTGGCCCATCCTCGAGCTGTAAATGGATTTTCCTGGCGTAAAACGAGCAAATATATGCCTAGGTCAGTGGATTGGTCATTTTTTCCCATGTGTTAAGGGCACATTGCCTTTGTGACTTTGATTGCTTTTCTCACTTTGAGAGTTTGTAGCTGTAGGACTTCAAAGCTTATGAAGATTAATATTAGATAGTCCCTGGCCTGCATACCTCTGGCTATGGGTCAGCTATGATTGGCATTTAGTGTAAGAGCCATTTTAAAGGAGTTGAAGCTGAGATAATTTACCAACATATAAGATGTCTTTAAGTCACAGAGTTGTGCATATTTTCTTTTTCTTCTCTATGTTTTGTGTCCAGTTCTTTCATCTCTTACTCTCTAGATTTCTGTTTGCCATGGACGTTTTTATATTTCATTCCCTTACTTTGTACCTTCTAGTTTGTCTCCTGGTTTTTTTTTTTTTTAAGTGTTTTATTGAACCTGGGTGCACTGGCATGTGCCTATAGTCGTAGCTACTCTAGAGGCCGAGGTGGAAGGATCGCTTGAGGCCAGGAATTCTGTGATGTGCCATGATTGTGCCTGTGAATAGCCACTGCACTCCAGCATGTGCAACATTGCAAGACCTCATCTCATTAAAAAAAAGAAAAAAAAAATAGGCTGGGCACAGTGGCTCACGCCGGTAATCCTAGCACTCTGGGAGGCCAAGGCAGGCGGATCGTTTGAGCTCAGGAGTTCGAGACCAGCCTGAGCAAGAATGAGACCCTGTCTCTACTAAAATTAGAAAGAAATTAGCTGGACAACTAAAAATATATAGTAAAAATTAGCTGGGCATGGTGGCGCATGCCTGTAGTCCCAGCTACTCAGGAGGCTGAGGCAGAAGGATTGCTTGAGCCCAGGAGTTTGAGGTTGCTGTGAGCTAGGCTGATGCCACGGCACTCTAGCCCGGGCAACAGAGTGAGACTCTGTCTCAAAAAAAAAAAAAGTAGCTTTACTGAGAGGCTATACCATGAATTCTCAAGTATTTATTTGACTGTACCCAACATCTCTAAGGAAGAGAGAGTGGGTTAGTACCCTACATTATCCTGCCCTGAAATAAGTATTAGTTTAACCCACACAAGCACATGCACGTACATTCCCATTAGTCCTTTTTTTCTGTAGTTCTGGAAAGATTTCATATCATATTGAATTTCTGCCTATATTTACGTAAGTTACAGAGACCTGTTAAGCATAGGTAGAAGCTCTTTTTGTACTGCGTGACCTTTTTCTTTTCCTTTTTTTTTTTCTGCTACCACACACACGGCCATTTTCAATTTGGCCCCACCATGTAAGCAATGCCAGTTTCCCTTACCCTTTCACTGTCTTATGCATTTTGCCACTGGCGATGTCCTAAGCTGATCTGTGGTAGTGTACCTGAATTATTTGTCGACTTTATTTATTTATTTATTTATTTATTTTGAGACAGAGTCTCACTTTGTCGCCTGGGCTAGAGTGAGTGCCGTGGCGTCAGCCTAGCTCACAGCAACCTCAGACTCCTGGGCTCAAGTGATCCTACTGCCTCAGCCTCCCGAGTAGCTGGGACTACAGGCATGCGCCACCATGCCCGGCTAATTTTTTTTTTTCTATATATTTTTAGCTGTCCAGTTAATTTCTTTCTATTTTTTTGGTAGAGACGGGGTCTCGCTCTTGCTCAGGCTGGTCTCAAACTCCTGAGCTCAAACAATCCGCCTGCCTCGGCCTCCCAGAGAGCTAGGATTACAGGCATGAGCCACCGCGCCCAGCCTGTCGACTTTATTTTTGCTCTTCTGTGCCAGCAGAGTATATGTAGACTTTTTGAGCTATAGTGCAGTGGTTGCTATTCTTCCTACCCCAACCCTAAAGTCTAACAAAGTGTAGGTCTAGGAGGGACACTCTGGGAAAAGTGATGGTTCTGTAGAAGGTTGTGTCAGAGTCTTTGGTCTAAAGGAGAATGGTCTGGAAAAGCTGTATTTAACAAAATCACCCTCACATTAGCTTCACTTTGATAACTATTATTTTAGTACCTCTGATACCATTGCCTACATATATAAAAATACATTGGGAATAGAATGAGCTTGTGGCGTATATTAACTCTCATTCTAAAAGTTGTGAATGAGGCCAACTCTCATCACAAACTGTGAGCCTTTAAGCCTACCTGAGGATTATCTGATTTCAGAGGCTGATTTCTTCTGATACCTACAAGTGTTTTCATTTATAGATGCTGCTACCATGAAAATACTAAAAAAGGAGGCTTATGAAGTATTGCATATTTTGAGAGAGAACAGTCACATCTGCTCCTGATCTAGTTCACTCAACATCAGCAGAACTGATCATGGTGGATGCAGAGGCAGATGCCTTAAACTGGGCCATTACAGGAGTCTGATAATAGCGATAAAGCATACCAGTTGGTTTCTTTTCCAGCCCATTTTCATTTTATGTCTGTCAACTAAATTCTGTAGCATAGGGAACTGTCCTGTAGAAAACTAGAATTTTCTGTTACGGCATCTTTTTTTTTTTTTTTTTTTTTGAGAGAGTCTCACTCTGTTGCCCTGGCTGGAGTGAGTGCCGTGGCGTTAGCCTAGCTCACAGCAACCTCAAACTGGGCTCAAGCGATCCTCCTGCCTCAGGCTCCCGAGTAGCTGGGACTACAGGCATGCGCCACCATGCCCGGCTAATTTTTTCTATATGTTTTTAGTTGTTCAGATAATTTCTTTCTATTTTTTTTTGGTAGAGACGGGGTCTCGCTCTTGCTCAGGCTCGTCTCGAACTCCTGAGCTCAAACAATCCGCCCGCCTCGGCCTCCCAGAGTGGTAGGATTACAGGCATGAGCCACCACGCCCGGCCTTACGGCATCTTTTTAGAGGTCTCCAGAACTGTGTTTTTGGATTCATGTCATTTAAGAATCAGCTAGTCTTTCTGAGCTCTTTTAGTTTTCATTTCTGTCTCACCAACTGCCTGTGGGTATGTAGTGGAAATACTGACCTTTGCTCATGAGAACGAGAGAGATCTCATCAAAGACCATTGCTCTTTCCGATATGTCATTTTGACTGGGTAATATCAGTGCTTTTGGTTTTCCACATAAAATTAAGGTACACTATCAAATGGCTAATACTGTATGCAAAGGGACTGCTGGATTGAGACAGAAAAATGGAGGTTTTGTAATGATCATATTCTCCTTTTTTTTAAATTTCAGAATATTATGGGGGTACAAACATTTTGGTAACATGAATTACTTTTGTACGGTTGGAGCCAAAGTTAAAAGTGTGTCTATCACCCAGATAGTGTGCATTGTTCCTGTTAGATGTGAATTTTCCCATCCCCTCCCCTCCACCTGCTTGATTTCTGTTGAATTTTACTACCATATGTACACATGAATGTTGATCATTTAGTTCTAATTTAATAATGAGTACATGTGGTATTTGTTTTTCCATTCTTGCAACACTTCACTTAGGATAGTCTCAAGTTCCATCTAGGTTGTTACTAAAGTTATTAGTTCACCATTTTTTTTTTATGGCTGAGTGTTACTCCATGGTGTGTTTGTGTGTGTGTATGTGTGTGTGTGTGTGTGTGTATACCACATTTTATTAATTGGTTTGTGTATTGATGGGCACTTGGGTTGTTTCCACATCTTTGTGATTGTGAATTTGCTGCTATAAACATTCAAGTGCAAGTGTCTTTTTTTATAAAATGTCTTTTCTTCCTTTGGGTAAATACCCAGTAGTGGGATTGCTAGATCAAATGGTGGATCTACTTTTAGTGTTTTGAGGTTATCTCCATACTAGTTTCCATAGAGATTGTATTAGTTTGCAGTCCCCCGAACAGTGTGTAAGTGTTCCTTTCTCTCCACATCCACACCAGCATCTGTTGTTTTGGGACTTTTTGATAAAAGCCATTTTCACTGTAGTTAGACAATATCTCATTGTGGTTTTGATTTGCATTTCCGTGATCATTAGAGACATTGAGCATTTTTTCATATGTGTACTGGCCATTAGTATATCTTCTTTTGAAATGTTTCTGTTCATGTCTTTTGCCCATTTTTTAATGGGGTTGTTTGATGTTTTCTTGCTGATTGCTTGAGTTCTGTGTAGATTATGGTTATCAGCCCTTTATCAGATGCATAGCATGCAAATATTTTCTCCCATTCTGTAGGTTGTCTATTTGCTCTATTGATTATTTCCTTGGCTGTACAGAAGTTTTTTAATTTAATCAGGTCCCATTTATTTTTGTTGTTACTGTGATTGCTTTTGGGGTCTTCTTCATAAATTCTTTGCCTATGCCATTATCTATAGGAGTTTTTCCAACATTTTCTTCTAGAATTCCTTTTAGTTTCGTGTCATAAATTTAAGTCTGTTATCCTTCGTGAATTAATTTTCGTGAGTGACGAGAGGTGCAGATCCTGTTTCAGTCTTCTACATGTGACTATCCAATTTTCCCAGCACCATTTATTGAATAGGAATTCTTTCCCCCAGTGTATGTTTTTGTCTGCTTTGTCAAAGATCACATGGCAATATGAGGATTGTTTTATATTCGGGTTCTCAATTCTGATCTATTGGTCTATATCTTTGTTTTTATGCTATTTTGGTTACTATAGCCTTGTGGTATACCTTAAAGTCTGGTAAATTGATGCCTCCTGATTTGTTCTTTGTGCTTGAGGTTGCTTTGGCTATATCGGGTCTTTTCTTGTTCTATATGAAATGTAGAATGATTTTTTCTAGGTCTGCGAAAAATGACATTGGTATTTTCATGGGGATTGCATTGAATCTGTAAATCACTTTGTGTAGTGTAGACATTTTATCAGTGTTGACTCTGCTGATCCATGAGCACGGTATGTTTTTCCATTTGTGATTTCCTTCCTCAGTGTTTCATAGTTCTCCCTATAGAGGTCTTTCATCTCCTTGGTTAAATATATTCCTAGGTATTTTATATTCTTTGTTGCTATTCTGAAGGGTATTGAGTCTTTAATTTGATTCTCAGCTTGACTGTTGTTGGCGTATAGGAAAGCTACTGATTTATGTACTTTGATTTTGTAACCTGAGACTCTGCTGAATTTATTT